GGCTATTTTCCCGTAATCCTTGACGAACCTTCGGTAGTAATGGGTCAAACCCAGAAATCCTCGTAATGCCCTGATATCCTTGGGAATTGGCCACTGTAAAACACTGTCAATTTTGGAAGGATCAACCGCCACTCCACATGCTGAAATGACATGCCCGAAATATTCTAATTCTCGTTGACTGAAGAAACACTATTTCCGATTGGCAACCAGGTGGTGTTCTTCAAGGGTGCTGAGGGTGATCTCTAAGTGCCGGATATGATCCTCTTTAGTATGGTTGTAAACCAATATGTCATCAAAGAATACCAAACTGAACCGACGTAGAAATGGCCGAAATATGTCATTCATCAAGGCTTGGAAAGTGGCTGGGGCATTAGTCAACCCAAAGGGCATGACTAAGAACTCATAATGCCCTTCGTGTGTCCTAAAAGCCGTTTTGTGGGTGTCCCCATCCTTTACTCAAATCTGGTGGTAGCTCGACTTCAAATCTAGTTTGGAAAAAATGGAAGCTCCTTCTAATTCATCAAACAATTTGTCAACCACTAGGATGGGAAACTTATCCGGAACCGTGATCTTATTAAGAGCCCTATAATCAACACAAAATCGCCAACCGTCGTCTTTTTTTTTTCACCAATAACACTGGGCTAGAAAAGGGGCTAAGGCTGGGCTTAATGATACCGGCAGCTAACATCTCACTCACTAGTTTTTCTATCTCATTTTTTTGGTAGTAGGGATAACGATAGGGTCTAATATTTGGGGGTTGGGAGCCGGGGAGGAGGTTGGAGTGATCTTAGGTCCTTGGCGGCGGTAATCCTGGACGTGAAGAGAAGATTGACTGATACCGAACCAGAATTGGTAGAATGCCGCTGTCCTCTTCAACTTGTGATTCACCTAGCTTCTGCAAATTACCAAATTCCACAAAACACCCATGTCCCTCGCGTTGAATTGTCCGAAGCATAGCTTTTAAGGAAATCAGAGTTTTGCTTAGAGAAGGGTCACCCACAAATTTCACAACTCTATCTTCTAGTTTGAACTTCATTACCTGTGTTTTCCAATCCACCGTTGTCTCCCCCAAAGTTTCCAACCATGCCACACCCAAAAACATATCTGCACTGTTCATCTCAAACGAAAAAAAATTATGTATAATCGAAGTCCCTTGAATGTCCAACCGTACCTCCCTACATTCTCCCTCACATTGCACCCGATATCCATCACCCACACGTACCCCGAAGGTTTGCGTCTGCGTCACTGGTAATCCCAACTTCTCAGTCACACCCTTGCTAATAAAATTATGCGATGCTCCACTGTCAATCAACACTATCACTTCAGCCCCTCTGATTTTTCCCTTTACCTTCATGGTTTTCGGACTTGAGATTCCCACGACTAAACTAATTGAAAGCTTCGCATCATTTGGTAGTTGCTCCTCCACGGTCTCACTCAGATCTGCCCCAACATCATTTGGCTCATCTTGACTCTCGTCCTCCTCAATCAACACGACGTGGAACTACTTGTCCCCACATCGGTGGCCTGGAAAAAATTTCGCGTCACATCGGAAACAAACCCCACGTGCCTTCTTCCTCTGGATCTCAAGTTCTGTCATCTGTTTGAAAGGAAATTCTTTTCTGAAAACTTAGCTGCTCGGTTGCTACTGGACAGAGTTGCTGTTGCTACGTTGACTAGAGTTTGGAGAAAAATGGCTGGTTCTCTCGTTCCATTGGCGGCCTAATTGGGCAGAAAAATTTTGATGTTGGCTGGAGTTTAAATTCGCGCTACCTGAAGGAACCAATGGATTAGAGTTATGTGCAAGCTTTGACCCTTTTTCCTACTGCCAAAATTTTTTTTCCCGATCCACCACTATAGGCCCAATTTACTCTATTAATTCCACTACCCATACTAGACTTAACACCCTTATTTAGCCCATGTTTTAATTCTTCCAAGGCCTAATTTTTTTCTTCTATCTTCTGGGCCAGTTCAATTAGCTGGATAATGGAAGTGGGTTGGCCCAATCTAACCTCAGCTTTTAATTCAGGTTTTAGCCCATTCAGAAACGCAGCCCAAAGTAAATCTTCCTTCTTATCCTTCAATGGTGCTGACAGGGCTTCAAACTTATGGCGGTAGTCCTCCACTATTTCGGTCTACCAGATTCCCATCAACGCCTCATACGGACCACCATCTTGGGATCCTCCGAACTGCTGAAGCAGAGACAGTTTAAACGCTGCCCAAGTCGTGACAGGAGCGCGGATTTCCATCCACTGGAACCAATTTATGGCGTCTCCCTCCAAACACACAGCCACCGTGTTCAGCCTCTCCTCCTCTACCACTTGATACATGTTAAAGTACCTTTCTATCCGGAACAACCACCCATACGGATCCTCTCCGACGAAGACTGGCATCCCGATTTTTCGGCAAGCGTATCCTGGATGATGTCGGCCATCTATTCCATTTTCGTCATTCATATTTGCGTTAGGGTCCCCATTTTCCCCCTCTGTGTTGCCTGTATTGTTTACGGGGTGTTAGAGTCATGAAAGTGACTCTATTTTGGTGATAAAAATACCCCATGTGTGATTAAATTGAAGTATATTGAGACAATTAAAGAATTTATGAATTTATTCACGAAAATCACTTCCTAATATTTTTCTTATGAATTTAACGTGTTTGGAATGATTTTGGAAAGTATATGAGTTGATATTAGGTTGTGGTTTATGGATTAAGGGTGATTTTGTCTCATTTATGCTGTTTAAGGGGTAAAATGTCATGTTTTAAGGGGCTAATTTTGTGATTTTCAATTATGTAGGGACCAAACTGATATTTTGCAATTTGTTCTATAAAAGAAAACAGAAGTTCGTGTGAAAAGGGGCGTTGTTCATCATCTTTTCCGACGACCCTTCGTCTTCCATTTTCGGTGACCTCCGACGACTCTTCGGCTTCCTCGTGCACAGATCGTCGTCATTTCCATCGTCCCGAACCACCACCGTGAATCATGGAACGTAGCCGCGGCGTTTCGTCTTCCACCATCGTGACTGTTCATCTTCCAGGCCAGTTTTGGCCGTTTTCAAGCGAAGTTTCAGCTCCCCAAGGGTCGATCTCCCTTCCCCACGGTCGGATCTATTCGATCTCTCTTCCCTACGGCCGGATCTACACTTCCCTAGCTTCAACCACTGCAAAAACTGCCAGAATCTGCGATTTTGCCGTCGCTCCTCTTCATCTTCCAACCCAGATCCTGCTCATTTCTGGCGACTTCTCACCTCCCTAGGACCTAATCTGAACTCCCCATCACCAGAGCTTTCCATCGGTACCTTCGGATCCCATTTCTACCACCATTTTTCGGAAGACCCGCCGGAAAATTAATGTTTTCCGACGAGTGCGGCTGTTCGTATTTCGAGCTATCCGTTGGTTGTTTTCACCCCTTCTTTGCATCATATCGCTGTCGGTTACCTCCTCTCTGCCATGGTCAGCTTCGTTTCCACCATTTTGGCCTCCGTCATCACCACCATGAGTGGCTAAGTTCCCGATTGTCTGTTACGGCATAGGCGAGATCGGGATTGACTCCACGACTCTCCTCATCATCTCTCGACTAGTTGGATGAGCCCGATTATAGGACATTTGGTAGTATTGTGCTTCGGATTATATTTGTTTTCATTTCATGTTTGATTTCGATACTTTAATATGATTTGAACATAACTTGTGATGAATATTGTTGTCCATTATGATTTAATGTTTTCATAGAACTTGCTGAATGGTAAACGTTGGTTTGAAATTATTAAATGATGAATATTGCTTTTTATTACTTCGCATTGATTGTAATTGAGTTGTGTTCGGGTTTAATTTAATTTCTACTATTGTTGCGTTTATTGTGAAGTTGGTTGATTGGATATTACGTGTTGACAAATTGTATTTGTTAATCGCGTACCAACTAGTGGTATTGTCTTGTAGTGTTTATCGACACTCAATGATAGTCTTTAACCAATCGAAATTGAGTGATAGGGTGAGAAAGGATAGATTATACCTAGAGTGTCGGGAAGCCATTTCATTGATTTACCTTGCCTTGTAGGTTTAGGGGATCGTAGAGAGTGGAGGAGAATTGTGTGAGTCGGTCTCGTGTCGAACCAAAACCGTAACGGAAACATTTTTATTATAAAGTCTTTATTTGTTTTAATTTCACTATTTGATTATTTGCATTTAGTCTATTTAGTTTCATTAATCAATTGCCAATTTCATTTCCGCTACTTAAAATACATTAGGTTGTTAGTCTTGCTCCCTGTGGATTCGATCCTGCTTACCGCTAACTACGGTATTTAGGTTTAATTTTGTGACTGTGACGACTGGTCTAACACGGGGCTCTCTGTTGAACCACCCCTTTCAGCTCTTCTAACTTCTTCTTCATCCTTACGCCTAATCCAAGCTTGGATTTCCAGCAAACAATCTCTCATTGTTCGCATGTCCTTCTCCACAACATCTAATCGTTTTTCCATCCTTGTTCCAACCATTCCCCAAATGTCACCTACTCTGATACCAATTTGTTCGGACCTTGCTATTTCGTTCAATCTCTCTTGCTATTCCACCTGCAGAAAACTCATAGGCACTACAATTTCTAGCAACAGATCCACGGCCACAACACACAACACAGTCACTCAATCAAACATTCTGAATATTTTCAATATGTGTATTAATAATCAAGGGTTCAATACAACTTTCTCAAGAGTATCAAAATTTAAAAGAAAAGATGAATAGAGAATAACAAGGCTGATTTCCCAGAACAGACAAAAGAACACAAAAATAACAATAATCTGCTAGCTTCGAGGGCCAGTACCTCCCCAGTCCCAATTTCCCATTTTTTCTCTGATTCCAACAATATTCCCTGTCACCCTTTTTATGCCCAACTTCATTCTAAAAGAATTATTCCAATTCCAATCCAAGGATGTCACCTGTCCCCTGCTTGTTGAGTAGAAATGTGCCATTTTATCCTCTCTGTCCATGCTTTTTCCTTCTGCTGAAAACATGCACTAGCGGGGTCTCATCACAATATCAGGGTAAAACCCACAAGCATCTAGTATTTCCATTACTCGACCTTTATCCCTCCCTTTCAAGAAGCATGCTATATATAAGAATATTTGCTTTTCTGTGTTCTTTAGTCCATCGTAACTTATTCTAAGTACTCTCAAAATTTCTTCATCAGGATGTTCTTTTAGCCTATCCAAGGCGCTTTTCCATTTGTCAACACTTCTGTCACACAAAAATGATCCCACAACTACAAAAGCTAACGGAAGGCCTTGTGTGTAGTTTATGACATGCTTTGACATCTCAAAATGTTCATGTGTAGGTTGTTTATGTTTGAAAGCCTTCATTTGTAAGAGCTCGTTAGCTTCATCATGATCCAATCCTCCAACCTTATATATATATTGGACTCCATGGCTAATTAGCAAATGTTCATCTCTTGTTGTAATGATGATTCTACTCCCAGATACAAACCAATTAGGTGCAGCAACCAATGCTTTTAGTTGTTCTTGTTTATCAACATCATCAAGAACCAGCAAAACCTTTTTCCGACATAGCCCTCTTATTATCAATTGGATTCCTTTCTGAACATCTCATATATTTGATTTTTTACGGAAAAGTACCTCTGACAGAAGCTGTTCTTGTAAACAAATTAGACCTCTATTTTGAGAGACTTCTCTAACATTGGCAAGAAAGCAAGAACCTTCATATTGATCTGATAGCCAGTCATATACAACTCTAGCAAGTGTAGTTTTACCTATTCCACCCATTCCCACTATGCCAATGAAACCAACATTATTTGATAGTGGCTTTAAGTACTTTATGAATTCCTCAAGACGAGACTCTACTAGGGGTGGGATAATCCGGTTAACCGAACCGGTTTATCCAAATCGAAAACCGGACCAGTTTTGGTTAAAAACCGAATGTAAACCGAACCGAATTTTTAGTTCGGTTACCGGTTAACCGGTTTTCAAATTATCCTTTAATCCTTAAAATTCTTCAATGTTTCATTTAAGTCCCTAAATTCAAATATTTATTATTTTATATATAATAATTTTTTTGCTTTTATATTTAGGGTAAAACCGGTTTTCGGTTAACTGGTTTGAAATTTTTTTCAAACCGAACCGGTTTTTCGTTTTTTGAATTTCACAAACCGAAAACTGAACTGGTTTGTAAAAAAACCTAATTTTTTATTCGGTTTTGGTTCGGTTCGGTTTTCGGATTATTTATCCCACCCCTAGACTCTACTCCAACAAGGTCCTTAGGGACATTAATTGGGAATGGAGTATCCAATTTTTGGGATATCATGTTAACAATTGTTTGGATAATTTCAGATTCATGGCTGCGAAGAACAGTAGATGAAACATATAAGTAAACTATTATGTTGCAGCTGATATACTAAGAGTCATGAGTTACAACATAAAGATTATTATGACTTCTTTAAAGTCAGAAAAATTGAACATTGTACAAGTTTTCTTACAAAATTTGTGCAATAACTAACATGGAAACTAAATTCAACTTTAAAATAGAGATCGTTTCGAATTATTAATGGGTTAACTTTTACTGATCCAATGTTTTGAACCTGAAATATGAAACCAATTTGTATGAAATAGTGACTGTATTAATCTCGATCTATCACTTATTCAATTAAAGTAGGTTGTAAATCATATTTGATTATCCATGCATGCTACTTTGGCTAATGTCTATTTACTTCATACGATTATATTCCCTTCAAAAGGCTTAAGATAAAACAAAAAGAGAATTAATAAGACTGTGCAAGAATTAATAATTTTCAGTATGTGTCCTGCAAATGCCATCCAGAAAGATTAGCTATTTGAGTGACAACTGATCTCCACCTTTCCACCTTTTGCTTATTCTCCCTGAAACTTTCTTCATGTTTATCAAATGCTTTCTTGAAATCTCCGGTCTGATTCCGTACATCAGATGGATTTATATAATAAAAAATTGGCAAAGCAGTATGTTGCTTCTCCTCTATGCACTCAACAATTTTTGCAAGTTCTTCTAGACACCATGTAGAAGAAACATAGTTTTTGGATAAAATTATGATGGAAATCATGGATTTCTCAATTGCACTCAAGAGTTCAGATGAAATTTCCTTTCCTCTCTCAAGTTCTTCATCGTCCCTAAACGTGAAAATCCCCTTTTGATCTAAGGCAACATATAGATGGTCAGTGAAATTCTTTCTAGTATCTTAACCTCTAAAACTCAAGAACACATCGTATTTCCATTTACAATTAGAAGAAGAAAGAAATGAAGAGGCCATTGGAAACTGAGTTCTTTAGCTTTGCTTATTGTTCTGAGAAATGAGAAAAGCTACTTCACTTCCTTTGTTGGTTACTCGGTATTAACTCATCCGATTTTGTTTTTTAGTCAAAAGTCAGAAACCCAGTACCAGTATGAGAGCCAGCTGTACCGCAGACATTATAAAACAGGGATTGTTTTTCTAATATAACCCCTCAACTACTAGGAATAATGAAAAAACCCCTATCGTCTATAGATGACAAAAAATTTCCGTTACTTTAGAGTTTGCTTTTGTGTTGAGCTGTGTGCTACTAAGCTGTGTCTGCTACTTTTTTTTCTCCTTTTTCTTTTTGTTTGCTACTTTGCCTGTTTGCCATTCGCGATCTGCACTCTCTCCAGTCTAGTCCTCGTCCTCCTGTCCTCCATTCGCGATCTCGGATCTCCTTCAAGCTTCAGCTTCAGCGGTTTAGCCTTCAAGTCTTCACTCTTCAAGTCTTCGGTCTGCTACTCTGCTTCAGTGCTTCTTCCTTGCTGTGGCTGGTCTGCTGCAAGTCTTCATTCTTCAACTTCAAGTCTTCAATGGTTCAACCTCTTCAATCATCACCGTCGCTATCTAAAAGTCTGCTTCTTGCTTGCCGTTGTTGGTTTACCGGATTAGTCACTTCAGTTCAGATTTCAGCCGTTGGTGGATTTATATTTGATATTACTTTGAAATACCTTTAATGATGTTTGAACTTTGAACTTTTAAACTCTAGAGTTTACTTTAGAGTTTAGACTTGAGGATTGAATTTGTAAACATAACTTTGATGGTTTTATTATTATTGCAGGGTTGGATGGATGGTTTTTAAATTTTAGTTAGATGAAATCATGAAAAACCTGGATTTCTTTTCCTGTTTTTCGTTTTTGCTGACGTTACCGATCTGACCAACCGGTCAAACTGGTCCAACCGTTCAAACCGAGAACCGGCCATTTGGCTGAGTCGACTCCTGGTTTGGTTTTCAGAACATTGCTAAAAACTAAAAAAAAACTTTAAAATATAGAAAACCTAAAGATTGTTATAATTTTACTAGTGTAATTGTAATAAAATATATTAATAGGGATTGAAAAAGAGCAAAATAAAGAGGGTGAAATAAATTTATTTTATTAATTCTTTTTCTTAATTGAGTTATATATTAAATGAAGGAAATTGACCCAATTTAGATTCTTTCCTCACCAACCCACCTCCCATGGGGACCAATTTTCCAATGTCATGTGTTTTCAAGTTGGACTCGTATAGGTCATGTGTTATTATGTGGACTTGCATGGGTCATATTTCTTTAAGTTGGACTTGCATAGTTGCATAGGCCATATAACAAATTGGTGGAAGGCCATCACTTACAATACTCCTCTGTGGACATCTACTATTGACAAATAATTATATTTAACCTTACTTAGGAAAAACCTAGTAAGATAAAAAATCTAAGTAAATAAATTCAAATCTATAAATGCAACTATAAACTGTAAAGTGGTGTTAGATATAAACAGAGGCTAGCTATCTCATTATCCGCATATAATTGAATACTCTCCTTAGTTGTTTGACACGTGACATATTTTGGAATTCGTAAAATTGTATTATCTTGACACGTTGAATTGACAACTAAGATTTGTTGTTTAATGAGTCTAATTAAATTACTTCATCTTGACAGATTGAATTTATATTTATTATTCTATCTATAATTAATAATTAATGAAAATTTTTAGATCCGTATTAATAATAATAATAATAATTTTAAATGTATTGCATTAGTATTATAAACATTTAACTATTTGGACACTTGGATGTGTATTAATAAATGTATACATATGTAAATTATGTAATGCATTGTGATTGTGAATGTTGTGTAGAAATTTCTCACATCCACATTCACTTAATGAAAGATGTCTTGCCGGTGAGCTCTTGATTCTCCCACTCCGGTTTAGTAGACGACGTTTCAAGATGTTAAATCCGAGTAAGTTGTTTATGAGAGCATCCTCTTTGGAAAGGTTAAAGGTCCGCACCGTTTATTTATTTCATTTATAAAAATAGATTTTGAGAACGGTCAAGTTACAGATTTTGACAGCCAAATTTCTACAGACAAGATAGCTAAGACGTCATGCAACTTTCTTGATTGGAGAGCAAGGTTTGGATCTAGATCTGTTGACCGGATGATTCAAATATCTTGATTTTCCGTTTGGTTCTCGAGAAAATTTTGGATTTTCCCGGCAAACGAACGGATTTGTAATTTTTGAATCATATGTTCTTTGTTGTTGTGAAATTGAGAATTTCGTCTGTGTTTTTGTGTGATTAGGTGTTTTTGTGTGGAAATTTTCTAATTTTTGAAGATGAATCAATTGTATAATCGGAAGAAGGCCCTTGGCGCACGTGAGGAGACGCACGGTTTTGAATTCTCTGATCAGAGGGAGTCTGTTGTTTGTCCGAAGCCACGACGAGTTGGGATTTTGAATTCTCTTTCCTTTTAAACTTTGTTTTTATTTATTTAGAAATTTCAGTTTTAATGGAATCGTCATTTCATTACAATCATCCAGTTGGGGCGTCTGATTCAAACGCCGGGGCAGAGCTTCTAGACATCATTCTCATGAAGGTAAGCTTAATTAATTGTTAAGGTTTTATTATGTGAAATGATTAGTTTTTCATTTGTGATGTATGACTAAGTCTGCAAAGGGTGATGGTTTTGATTGAATATAAATATTTTATGTTTTTATTTGATTGTTTTAAATGTAGGTAATAGGTGAGGCTGATTTTCAGCGTAATAGGGATTTGGTGAAGGTAGTTTTCTTTTTTATGTGTATACGTTTCTTTGTAATAAACGTCGTTTCAATTTATTTGTGGTGGATTTGAAATTTTGTTTGTATGTTGGAAGTTTTTGGTTGATTCGGGTTGTAATTTCTTTCCCTCACTCAGCTTAGCTTCGCTTATTATTATCTTCCAATTCTTCATTTTAATTTCTTATTTTGTCCAATTTTTTTGCAGTTTCTGTGTAGAAGAAGATTCGGGCATGTTCAATCCTGTAACTTCTCATCTTTCTTTGTTGAATGGTTGTATTAAGAGTTCAAGATACCCGAATTCATAATTCTTTATATATAGTGGTTTAAATTATATTTATAATGGTAAAAGTTTTAACCATGAATCTTTTCTTATTCAACAGTGACAATTGCAGCGTGTCGATTGTTAATTTCCACGGAAGCTGCCCCAATCCTGATTGTTCTTATGATCTCTGCCTGACTTGCTGTGCAGAAATAAGAAAAGGTTTTCAACAGGGACGTATTGAAGAAGAGCTTTCTGAATAGCAGTTAGCTGAAAAAGCAAATGGCCAGGTTACAGATTTTGACACCCACATTTCTGCAGAGCTAAGACGTCATGCAACTTTCCTGATTGGAGAGAAGAGGCTGACGGTAGAATTCCTTGTCCTCCCAAAGCACATGGAAGTTGTGGTACGTAGATACTTGCACTAAGACACATCTTTGATGCTAATTGGATTGAAAAACTGATTAAGACTGCAGAGGACCTGACTATCAATTATAAGCCGCTGGATTTTTTTCTCAAGGATGTTTTTTGTGCAATCATGTATATTCTGCTGAAAATGGAGTAAAAACTTTTGGAGTTAGGCAGGCAGCTCATAGGGACAACAGTCGGGACAATCATCTCTACTGCCCAACTGCTACTCAGTTGGGAAACAATGAAATCGAGCATTTACAAATGCATTAGATGAGAGGTGAACCTGTGATAGTTACAAATGTGCTTGAAAAGACTTCTGGTCTTAGTTGGGACCCAATGGTCATGTGGAGTGCTTTTCGAGGGACAAAAAAGATTTTAAAAGAGGAGGCTCGTAAGGTTAAAGCTGTTGATTGTTTTGATTGGTGTGAGGTATGTGTTCATGTTTTTATATCCCAGAGTTGCAGTACACCTTTCTGTAGTTGCTAACATGTTCCTGGTAATGCTCTCCCTCCCTGTTTTCATGACTACTTAGATTTTCAGAATCCAGCAGTTTTTCCTTTTCCCGCGAACGTCTTTCTTCCCTCTCTTCTTTTAGCCACATCAATTCTCTTATCTCATTCAAACACTCCTTCACTCCACCTAAATCCACCTTCATGATCATCATATCCTCCTTCACCAACTTAATTTCCTTCTCCACATTATCCATTCTATTTTCCATCTTAAATTTGACTATTACCCAACCTGGCTCTGATACCAGTTTGATACAGACCTGGGTTTTAATCACACATCCAGCAAATTAAACACTCAACAGTTCCAAGATTGTAACCAACAGAACTAAGTAAATATGTAATAGCTGAAATATATTGATAAAGATGAAGTAGAATATTCAAAGGACTGAAGCAAATAAAGAAATACAGAATAGGAAATAAACCCCAGCTAGCAGTTCGAGGAGCTAGCAACCTCCAGACTAATCTTTTACAAAATAACTGAATGAATGACTCATGCAAATATTCTCCCTTATAAGCACTTTTTGGCCTCCCCTAATCACCTAACAACATGACACGTGCACCTTCCCCTAACTAATTCTTGTTGGCTTGATCTCCCCATGTGGATCTTGGATCTTTTCCCTTACTTGGCGTGATCTTCTCTCCTGCTGGTTGTTACTTGGTTTTATTCCCCCATGTGGACCTTCTCCCTTGCTTGGTGTAACGTTTTGTGATGGGTGGCCTATCAGATTATCTTGAACCCTGAGAACTTACTTTGCTGGTGATGACTTTTTGTTGGTTGGTTTACATATATATGGTTTTTCATGAATGACATTCTGGACCTTTATAATATCCTCAGGATTGGTCTCTTGAACTCGAAGAAGTTTTTTCACTTGAAAGGGAAGGAGAATTTGATAAGAATGCTCCTCTGGCATGGTAAGTTGCAATTAATTTACAGAAATTAAAGAGAAAAAACTTTTGCAGTTAATGTGGTGTTATATTCTACTCCATCTGCTGTAAAAATTCTCCACTCTGCAGGTTCTTGGTTGACTAATTTTGTGGGAATACTTAGCCAAGGATTGAGAATAGCGCATCCTGAAGCACCAGCAACTGGCTATATGGTTCTCTCACTCTCCCACTGTTTGTGTATGTGTGTGTTCATGTGCACTTGTGTGTGTGTGTGTTTGTGTTTCCCAGTGACATCTGCACTGGCAAGCCTAATTAACTTTTTAGAATCTTTCAAATAGGTTGGCAAGGGGATATACTTTGCTGACCTGGTCAGTAAAATGCTCAGTATTGCTACATTGATAAGAAAAATCCTGTGGGCCTAATGCTTTTTAGTGAAGTAGCGTTGGGAGAGGTCACACGGTCAAGAAGGCGGAAGTGAGTTCACTTCCATTTTACATGTGTATCCTAATTCTTGATGTTTCCCTGCATTGTTATGAGTCTATTGGGTGGTGGCTTTTTTTTTTTTTTTTTTTTAATTGTGTCACATTTGTCTGTTGAGATACTACACACTCATTTATTGTTTCCTATAACAATTATAACTTATTTATGCTGCTACCATTTTGTGTGTACCTGTATTATAATGGACACATTTTATTTAATCATAGTTTGGCCCAGTATAATGTGTAGCGGGTGGAAGAAATTTCTAATGCTATGTTTCCATGCCAGTTCTTCTTCATAGTAATTTCTTTCTGCTCTGTGATTCAATATATGGATAAATCTCAGAAAGATGTGTTCGTCTGACCATGAAAAGGTTAGAAATGTGTTGATGACACGAAATAGTTAGACCAAGGTGCTAGAAATTTGATATGTGAGCGAGCAGAAGCATTATATAGATGTTTTGAAGTTTTGAAGTTTTTTTTTTTTTTTTTTTTTTGTATATAAAATGCCATTTAGTTGTAATTACAATTGTAATCACGATTGATTTGGGTTTCATAGAGTAGGCCAACCTCAATAGTTCAAATATTATATTGTGGGCTTGAGCAAACTAACATAAATGTACTTGACCTTTGTAATTCATGGCATGATCTTTTCTTTTTTCTGAAACTTATAATACCCATTACAAGTTTAAGTGGATTTCGAAGGTCAAGCTAATGCTTTCATTGTGCTGCTAGACAAAACATTGAGACTCAGATTAATTTGCTGATTTTCTTTTATTTAAACATCTTTTCTGCACTGATCTTTAGTGTTTCACATACTTGCTGCCAAGATTAATGGCTTCACAGTTTATGTACTTGAAGATTAACCAAAATGTCTACTGAAAGTCTGATTTATTTTATTTTATTTTCAAGTTTTGGCAGATATTAATTTGCATCTTTTGAAATATGTCCAATGGGTTAACTGAACAATTTTGAATCTTTTTGCCCTTCATGGATACAACTGTGTATTTGTTTTTCCTTTTTCAAACTATATTTTGTTGAATAATTACAGTTTAACAATTCCTCCTATAAAACTACTTTCATTCCTTTCTTTCTTCTTCCAATCACTCAATTTTCACAACATTGATCTTATCCATCTAATTGTAGTAAAACTGTGTATGTTATTCAAACTATTAAGATTTTAATAAGGTGTATGTCAACTGATTTTAAAAGAAAATATTTAAGGTTTTGTCATGCTTGAAATTGTAAATCACTAAGCTTTTCTCTCAAATTTTGCTATAAATTGTTACTATTCATACTAAAGAGATTAAATTTTCATTCTAAATATCAGTCTACAACTTCATATAATAGTTACACAGTCCAAGGGTTTACAAATCTTAAATTAAATGGTGAGTGAGAGACTGTTCCTCTAAATTAAAATACTCACAAATTTTTTCCAAATCTTGAAAATAAAGCATAAAAACACATATCCTCTCACACCATGCTTATAATTACAAAAAACCTATGTGTTCTTTCATGCCATCCTTATAATCACAAAAAACCTCCCAAAAACTTCAATTTTATTGTATGGTACTATATGATACCATATCAGGCTTCTTCCCTTTTCGTAATTATTAACCTCGTATCAATTTGCAACATCACCATGCATGTCCCACATGTCCCATGTGCATCTACCAACCCATTTTTTATTATCACAAATTAATAATAACACTTTACACACACATAATCAAAGTGATTTATTTAATTGAGAAAGAGCGACAAAATTTGGCAAGGGGAAGTTGTTTATCTAAAGGGACAAGATGGAGAATGATAAAAGGCAGTTTAGAGATTTGATAGAAGCATTAGATTCTTCCGTGGCCCATCACCATCCCCAATTTCATTTATTTTGTACATTTGCATATTGGTGGATGGAATAGTCTGGGGTGCATTTGGTTTAGTATTTTGGATAGGATTTTGGGATAGTATTAGGTTATTGGATAGGAGAGTATTACGAGGTAAATTTTAAAAATTTGTCAAAAAACCCTTAGGTTTACTAATTTAATTAAAGACCCTAATAGATAAAATGACAAAAATACCCCCACCACCGTTGGAATCTGGTCGAAAATTTTGTTACGGCACAGACTGGTCGGATCTGTGCTGTAACACGTTGTTATGGCCTTTTCCGGCTAGATCCACCATCCGGCCAGATCCATGGTGGATCTAGCCGGAAAAGGCCAGATCTACGGTCTGTTATGGACGTCAATAGCCGAAAAAGGGCAAACGACAGCCAAAGATGTGACCGTCATTTTCGATCAACGACGGCCAAGATTTGGCCATCGCTGAAGGCCATATCTGGCTTTTTCTGACGAGATAAGGCCACATTGATGAACTTCCGGCCATTTCTGGTCGGAAGTTAGGCCGTTGTACAGATTTCGGCTATCACTAACGGTGGTTGCCGGAATCTGACAAGTTGGGTTAATGGGGATGTTTTTGTTAATTTTTAAACTTTTTTTTCAGGAGGTATTTAGTGAAATTAATAAGCTTATGGAGTCTAAAAGTAATTAAAAAAATAAGAAAATATTTTTGGAATAATGTGCTAAACATTATTTAAAGAATAGGATCTAGAATATGGATAAAAATACTAAGCCAAACATAGCCCTGGTTGTCTCTCTCTTTTTCTTTTAACTTTTTTCCTTTCTCATTTACTTTCAAATATACCCACTTGGGTTTCGGGTCCACCGTTGCTAACGCCAGCACACAACATATCTTTCAGGCACGAGGCATCCGCACTCTTCTCTTTAATATTCTTTTATAATTCAAAAAACGCACACACCCCTTAATTCTCTTCTCTTTATTATTCTTTCTCTCCAACGGCTCTTTCTAATCTTTGGGTTTTTTAATCCCAAGATCTTTGGGTTTTTTAGTTTTATTTTGGAAAGTTAAGACTTGTTCAGTTCGTATTTAGGGTTTTGGCTTCGTTATATAATTTTTTTACAGTGAATTAATGTTAGAATGTTAATGAGATGATGAATCAAGGAGGCAATACTCAAACCGTTGCTTCACTTGACCCTAATTTGGCTGAGGTAATTATTCTTCTTTTTATATTTATTCACTTGATTTGGTTGAGGTGATTTGATTGGTGTTGAGACTAGAAGCACTAATCTTTTTTCAAGAGGAAGAGAACCACTGAAGAATCGTACTGCTGTTTCTGCTCTGGGGGATTGGATCAACATTTTCAAGCTTCAATTTTATTTCACTCACTGTGAAATATTCTTTGCCCTGATATTATGGATTATATGTTTAGTTTCTCATTGGATCGCATAGTAAATCAAATGTCAGTTGTGATCTTTGATCACTGATTGTTTGACCTTAGCTTCTTCTCGGGAATATTTCAGAATATATACACTTATGATTCGTATTCCAATTTATTGGATTGGCAATCTTTGTTAGGTTTTGTTTCGTTGCAGTATTATTTAAATTTTTATGTTTTGATTATAATGGATCTAATTCTCCTCAATTGGGCCAATATGGAAACATAGAATGCCTGCTGAAATATATCCTTTCTTGTATTTGTTGCTCTGGTAAAGTAAATACCAAAGAGAAAATAGTAGTAAAGGAAATCTGAGCCTATTTTTCACATACTCAAAAAAATGTGGAGTCTGATAAGATAAAGAATTTGAATTATGCTGTAAACTTGTGTTAATTACTTTTTGCAATGTTTTAGATTTTAACTGGCATCAGGTCAGGTTATAATTTTGCAGTGTGCATGAGAATTGGAATATTGTTGAAAATAGTCTCTTTAGATTTTTTTTTTCCCCTATTATTTCATAGTCGTTTCTGTTTCCTACTTTTTTGGGTGTGCTTGCAGTCACAGAAGTCTGTTTTCAAACTCCTGCTTCCCCACTTTCCCCACCTTATGATTAGATACATCTATTAAACTCTTTGTTTTTTTTCTTAAACTGTCCCTAAATTTATAATTTATTATATCTATGAAAGTTGACAGTTTTGTAAAGAGATGTGAAATGATGATATCTAGGAAATGATGAAATAGGGAAAAAAAAGAAAGAAAGAAAGAAAAAAAGAATGAAGGAAGAAAAGTGATGTGTGGGATATGTCTCCTGTGTATGAAAGAAATGTTTCACTATTTATGAAATCTATCATTATTTGCTGGCAAACGAGGTTCCATGGTTTGAATCTTTTTTTGGTTTCAGGAAATTGATCAACCTGCATTGATTCCGCATATATCTGAAGCCAGCTCCTTAAAGTATACTTATGAGGTCCTTTTCCAGAGCTTACACAAGCTGCTTATGGATACTGCAACTTCTGAGTACCTTTTTGCTCTTCTCCTTGATTTTGTTTTCTAGATGTAAGTGAATGTCAAGTCTGTTGTATGGTTTTTGACTCTTTTGTTCTCTAATTTGCAGGTATCTTTTCTGTGATGACTTCTTCAGGAAGAATCTATATTTTATGAAATTTTCGCAGGTAAAATTTTATAAATAATAAGGTCAAGATATGCACCAGAAGGTGGCACTTGAAGTGAATAATAATCAGCCAATGCCTTGTTGGAGTTGCCAACAGGTGGCAATTTAATTTCTGCTAGAACTTCTGTGTCAGCCATCACAATTTCAGATTTTAGTAGTACTGGTATTATTGAGACTGGCTTAGGATCTGTTTTGGCTTCTACAATGAAAGAAAGCACAACCAAAGAGGCAAGTACAGATGCTTCGTAGGACACTTTCAAAGTAGCTATTCTCACAGTAAGTCATACAGTTGCATCGGCAGCTGGGCCTGATCAAAGGTACTAAATATGTGTATATACGTGCTCTCTGTCTCTCTCTCTTTTATATCCTTTTTTAATGCTTCCTGTGTATATATATTTATTCATCCATCCAGTTTAGATATGTTAAAAAAGCAAAACAAAGAAAAGGCATCTAGGTACACCTTTTTGACTCAGTAGGTTTAAAAATATTTATGGATGCTACAGTGATAGAGCAGAGCTGATGTTCTGCCTTATATGAGTTAGATATGGAACATTATATAGCAAACAGTGGATGATTAGTATCTTTATGTCCTTGGATGACTCAATCTTTGGGATCATCTTCTCTAAGGTGTCCTTAATTGGGAATGCGAAGATCATTACCTAAACTTAATAGCATCTGGATACACCTCTTTGAATCATTGTTTCAGAAGCGTCACTTACTTGATGCCATAGTAAAAAGCCAAGCTGATATTACTCCTTGTCAAAGTGAAACATGGAAAGCACTAAATGCTATGCAACAGTATTCTGGAAATAGTATGGCAATCATCAAGTCATCTTGGTGGTGTTCTTTGTTATTTTTGCTTCTATTGTGCTTGTATTAGAACTTCCTTGTGAGCATTGAACTATAAATAAACTGACAACACTTTAGAACTATCCTTTTTTGTAATGCTTGACTATTTGAAGAATTGACCAAACTTGAAATCTTTTCGAAAGCATTAATGACCATTTAACTAAAGGCCTTTGGTTGTGTGAGCCATGGCCGATTAACTGATTCATGAAAAATGTTGTACACTTCTTAAATTTAAGATGCTAGACATGCATAGTAGAACGATGCAGAAACTTTGGTTTAGTTCTGAGCGAACAATGGATTTCCATTTAGTTCAAATTATTAGAAAAATAAGAAAAATGTCTTCTACTTTTATCTTTCTGTTTCTGCATTGCATTTTGATAGTAAATGATATTGAACACATTTAATTTTCAATGGGCCTAGAGCTGTTTCTGTTTTAAATTCCTCATCAGAAAGGTTAGGTGGAGCAAGGGTAGTTGCAACAGCTGTAGTCCCAGATGATGTAGGGAAAATCAAAGATGTTATCCAGAGATGGTTTGATATTGACGGAATGGATCTCATCCTTACCCTTGGTAACTTTCAGATTGTATTCAGCTAGTTAAATTCTGTGGGTGATTTTGTTTTTTGGGTTATCCTGACCTTTTCCTTTTCTTTTTTGAATATATTTTGAACAAGGTGGCACTGGCTTCACCCCAAGAGACATTACCCCTGAAGCTACAAAAGAGTTGATTCAGAGGGAAGCACCTGGTCTTTTGTATGTAATGATCTAAGAGAGTTTAAAGGTACCAACAATATTTTTTTGGAAGTTATTAATTTATATTAATACATGATAGCTGCTTGTGCAACTATTTGAACTTTTCTACATATGATTATGTCTTGACTGATAAGAGTGTTTTGTAAGTACCTGTGTAACTGTTGTGGAATTGTCACTTTAACATTGAAGTAATTTTGGGGAAGTTAGTAAAAGTTCAAGCAAAATTTATTTGATTCAAATTACTAATGGTTTAGTCCTTAGCTGTATGCCAACATGCACTCCTTTAATTTACCATGTACTACTGCAAGTTTGAAGTTCAAAATGACTATTTAGATGCGTCTATGTTGGCTTCTCGAATGTCATATCTCCTGTTTGCTTATATTTCAAAGTCTTAACCATTTTTCCAGTTAAGTTTATAAGTTTTAATACTTAAATCCAGTAAGAGAAAGTAAAGTCATATATTTGAATTCCAAGTATGGTGCATCTTTCCAGCCCTTAATGTTTAAACTTTTCTTAAAAGTCTAATTTCAATGCCATTTTTTTCCTCATTATCTCGAATTGGGATCATTCAATCAGTTTTCCATGAAAGTTTCTTGGCTTCTATGTGTGCAAATCAGTGGTCGTTACATCCTAACAGTATGCCTATTTTATTTATGTTGATCTAACCAATTTCATGGAAGATTTTCTGCATACTAATAAATCTTCTTCTATTGGTGTATTTTGAGTAGGGCCTTTAGCTAAATTCCTGTTTTTTCTGTCCTTCAATGCGCGCGAGGTCAAGACAGGCTGTGAAGCGATACAAAAAGTTGTTGGCAGAGTTATTTTCCCGTAATCAGGTGGATTTATAGCTTGTGTAATGTCACTTGAACTTAGGCTTTGAAAGTATATGAGAATTGCATTGGTTTAATTGGTCTTGGTAATGTATGTATGGATTAACTTTTAAGTTGTTTTGTGTTTCCGAAATGAAGATGGAGTATTGTCTGTAAGATTGGGTTTTTAGTTAAGGTTTGGTTTACTGTGATATTTTAGCCATGTTTCTAGTGGTGTTTTGAAACATGTGAAATTTGTTTTCGTATCATAGAAACGTTTCAAAAAAGTGGAAGGTTCATTGTTGCTTCGGCTGCTAGTAGTACAAATAAGGTTACTCAGTTACATCGTTAGAAATCTTGTACATTTTAGAAGAGAACTTGAATGCTGGCAATAGAGACGTCAAGAAATATCGAACTTATCACTTTTAGTATCTGCCCTGCTTTTTACAGAATTTCTTTATGCTTCTGATTCACGACCATCCACTCTCAACCTCCTGAGAACAGGAACAATCTTAAAAGGAAAACTGAGGCATTTCATGTGCTTATTTGTATGCAGGATGCTAAACCAATTGATAGAAAAATTGGTAAGCTTTGTGAATATGCTTCGAAAAACCCATTACGAATTCCCAAGGTATGTTTTATCTTCTGGTTGACCCATTACTTTGCATTTTGATGCATACATAAAACTTCCAAACTGACCAAATCAGCCATTTTATCTTTTACTTCAGACTATAATGCATTATTCTTTTAAATGTAAAATGGTTACTAAAGCCACTCTTTTCACCAATCCCTTTCCACTTCTGCCAAACTTTTAGTTACTTTTGCCTTATGCTGATTGTGGCATTTTTTTTTTTCCCCTGTTAGCCTTCTGTGCTATTCTATAATTGCTATACCATAAATTTATCAAGAATGCAATTTGGCAATTTTTTCTTGTTCTTATTTGTCCTGTTTTCACCATTAAAATTATGCATGCCATTGTTAAGTTTCCCTAAAATGCAATTTGGCAATTTTTTCTTGATTATTAATTTGAATATTATCTTTACAAATTCAGGGGTTCTTATGAATAAAAAACATGAGGTTTTATTTGGGGAGGCTAAATTTGTCATATTTGTAAAAAAGTCAAGGCATTTTTTTTTTTTTTTTTTTTTTAGACATTGATCCTTGGGTAGGCGATGGTGATTGAGTGAGTAGGCAAATATCTATTTAATCCTGACGGGGGACATTCTCTAGGAGATAAACTAACACGAGTATATGATTTGCCTATCTTAGTATTATAACATGCTGGTCATTGTATCTAAGTGTACATTATATGAACATCAAGTAAAGTATAAGCGATAGACATAAATAACATTACATCAATAAAACACCTGCTAGTGTTGGAATATTTGTGGGCCTATAATGAAACCTCTTGTTCTCAGTTTTTTATGGATTAAGTGATTCTTTCGGTGCCCTTAGATGCTAGCATCTACTGCCATGTATTTGCTATGATCATGTTTATGGAAAGAATTAGGGTACCAAGAAGCTTGGCAATTTACAGCGATTCTTATGAATTTAAAACATATGATGAATTAGAATATATATTCAATTTCTATTTAATTATTATTTTTTATTTTTTTTTGTGTTCAATTCAATGGTTTATTTCATGTTCTTTTAAATGTTATAAGTCTTGTTTAAATAAAAAGTTAAACGTGTTTGTTGTCTGTCTTCATTTTGTAACTAAATCTAGGTAATGGTTTGTTGTTGTCTTTTATGTTCTCTTAGTAAAAGTAAATGTCCTTTGTATTTTAAGTGAGCTTAAATTTAGCTAGTGATTATGACTTATTTAGTTGCACATTTTTATTTTTGCCCTTCCATTTTGGTATTGAATTATTATACGATGATATCATCTAAAATATGTTGTCTCTGTTGGGTAATGATTGATTTTTAAAGTTTAAAGCTAACAGGAATGAACAACAGTAATATTTAAGGCCTAACATGTCCTTTGATGTGCTCAATTAATTAATTGAGTTGTTATGTGGATCCAACCACAAGCCTTGTGGATACTATTTAAACTAGAATAATATGTTTTGAGTAGATTTTAATCTTGTATTATGTGTTTTGATTGATATAGGTTCCAGTTAAGCACCTTGTCTTTATGGTACATGGCATTGGTAAGAGGTTGGAGAAATCTAATTTGGTTGATGATGTCGACAAATTTCGCCATATCACAGCAAGTCTTGCTGAACAACACCTTCCTACACGCCAACGTGGCACCCAGAGAATTCTTTATATCCCTTGCCAGGTGAATAATAAATTATTTTGTACTTAATTGACTCTCTCTTCTGTATGTAGTTTGATTCCCTTGTGTCAATTACCCATCTCAAGCTGTTTAAAGTATGAAAATGCATAATGTTTGATGTAGTTTTGATGAAATTAGGCTATTTTTTATGTAAAGCTAATATGGACCGGCGAGATTGTAGATGTGTTTGTGGATAGTGTTGTGTATCATAGTTATAATCTCTCTCTTGATTTCTTTCTCTCTCAATCTCTCTTCTGTTTTTGGAAAACTAGAAAATTATGTGATCGTATTGTTAATAGGCTATGTAATGGCTTCATATTCAATGAATGAGGCATGCACATTCTGTATATTATGTAGATGATGAAACATTTTTATATTATGTAGATGATGAAACATTTTTATGGCATTTCAGTATGCCTAGTTTTTATTCAATTTGAGAATTTCTTTTTATGTTTTCTAATTAGAAATGATAACACCATGTCGTTGTGAAGTTTTTAGACCACCCGCACGCAAGGTTTATAAATCAAAAGGCAGGGGTAGGAATAGGCATTAAGGTGCAATGAGGGTTACGTGACAGTGAATGTGGGGAGTGTGGTGAGTTTGTTAGGAGTGTGGAGAGTGGTTATAAGAAAGTACCCGTGGCTGATAAGTGGTTACATAATAGGTGGTTACATAATAGAATAATTAGTATATAGAGAGGAGAGTGTGAGGCAGGTCATTTTTATCAAGGAATATCTTCTTAGGTCTGAGTGGGAGGCCCCTAGCTCCTCAAACTGTTGGGAACCTGTTCTTGAATGAATTTGCTCTGTCAAGGGATAATTCAATCCTAATTGATACTATTTTAATTCCTTTCAGATTGTGTATATTTTTGTTATTGTGTTGTGTTGCGGCTGTGGTTTGATTTGTTTTTCAGGGGAGTTCCATCAATTTGGTATTAGAGCTAGGCTGAGGAATTGTCAAATCGAAGATGGAGAACAGAATGGAAAATATGGAAAAAGAGATGAAATTGGTGAAGAAGGACATGAGCTCAGTGAAGACTAATGTCGGTAGCCTTAAAGAGTACCTGACCGAGATGAGAGAGTTAATGAGGATGAGGGAAGAGAGGGATGAAAAACGTTATCACCAAAAGGAGAAGACACCGTCGTCCTCCGAGAATCATGATTCTGGTGTTGTCCGAGAACAGCGGTGAGAAACTAATGGAGATAGTGGGAAAGAGGAGAAGAAAGGCAAGAAACTTGAGCTTCCAATCTTCCATGGAGAGTATCCATTTGGGTGGACATTCCGAGCAGATCGCTACTTTGCCATTTACAGATATGGATCATCGGAGATGGTTGAAGCCGCCGCTGTGTGTATGGAGGGCAGGGCATTGAACTGGTACCAATGGGTTGAAGGGCGAGAACCTTTCAAGTCGTGGGGAGAGTTTAAGGCAGCTTTAATTGTGAGATTCCGTTCGTCGTTCCAAGGTTTTGCACACGAAGCTCTGGTGGCGCTGAAGCAAACTTCCATGGTGACTGAATATAGGGAAGAGTTTGAGTCCCATACGGCATCGTTGAAGGATTTGGGTGAAGAATTGTTGATGAGTCTTTATCAATGGGCTCAAAGAGGAGATTAGAGCTGAGTTGAGACTGGTGAGGCCCAACTCTCTTCAAGATGTGATTGAACAGGCCCATCGGGTGGAGGAAAAGAACTGGGTCCTTGAAAGATGTCAGCCCAAAATTTTTAAAACCCAAGGAGCAAATGAACATTACACAAGAGTGTCCAGCAGCCCAGACCTGACCTGACCTGACCCGCGTGGTGACCCAATTCAACAAAACCACCAAATCCCATTCACGTTGCGTCATCTCGCACACTAGAAAGGAGAGAGAGAGCACCGGAGATTGGAGCTTCAAGCGTCAGAGGGGGAACTGGCGGAAATTTTCGGCGACTTTCAGAGGCCGATATCTAGTATAAGAGGAAAAGCGGACTTTGTTTTCGTTGTGATGAAAAGTTCAGCCCCAATCACCGCTATAAGAGTAAATCATTACAAATTCTGTTGGCTTGGGAAGACGATGACTTTGAGAAGGATGAATCTCCACTGGAAAGTGAAGAAATTTCCAACCCGGAAGGTAATGCTTTAGCTCTGTCCATGAATTCCATTGTGGGTATAACTTCGGACAAAACTTTGAAGGTTAAGGGGCAAATTGGGAACACGGATGTGGTGGTGTTGGTTGACAGTGGGGCGTCCCATAATTTTCTTTCACATGAGTTGGTGTGTAGGCTTGGCATTTCAGTTGAAAAAGGGAAGTTGTTTGGAGTGATGGTGGGCAATGGGGTCACAGTTAAGGGGGAAGGGGTGTGTCGACAGGTTCCTCTGGAGGTACAAGGGATCCGAATTAGGCAGGATTTCTTTCCTTTTGAGTTAGGAGGTGCTAATGTTGTGTTGGGTGTTACATGGCTAAGTTCTTTAGGAGATGTGTGCCAATTGGAAGAAGTTGACCATGAAATTTGAGGTGGATGGGGTCAGAGTCAGTTTACAAGGAGACCCATCTCTAGTGAAGTCAGTGGTTTCCCTTAAATCCATATTACGATCCATTAATAACACAGTGGGTGGGTTTTTGGTGGAATGCTGTTCGATTGAGGGAAGTATAATGTCTAAGGGAGAGGATGTCAATCCTAGAGTTCAAGCAGTGTTGGATCAGTATATACGCCTTTTTGACTAGCCTTCCAAGCTTCCTCCACATCGTACTCACGATCACGCCATAACCCTTAAAGAAGGTGCCCTAGCCCCTAACATTAGACCCTATAGGTACCTTTATTTCCAAAAAAAATGAAATTGAAAAGTTGGTGGAAGAGATGTTTGTGGCCCGGATTATCCAGCCTAGTACTAGCCCATACGCCAGTCCGGTGTTGTTAGTTAAAAAAAAAAAAAAAAAAAAAAAAAAAAAAAAGACGGAAGTAGGAGGTTTTGCATTGACTACAGAGCTCTCAACGAAATAACAATTCCCCACAAGTTTCCCATTCCTACCATTGAGGAGTTGTTGGATGAGTTGGCGGGGGCGACCATATTCTCTAAGTTGGACTTTAGGTTCGGGTACCACCAAATCAGGATCAAAGAAGGCAATATTCCCAAAACAGCTTTTCGAACAGATGAGGGGCACTATGAGTTCCCTGTCATGTCGTTCGGCTTGACCAATGCTCCCTCCACGTTTCAGTCACTAATGAACACCATGCAGAAGTTTGTGCTGGTTTTTTTTTTACGATATTCTTATCTACAACCCTGACTTGGAGTCCCATATAATACAACTTCGGCAAGCTCTTCGAATATTGGACGATAATGAATTGGTAGTGAATTTTATAAAGTGTTTGTTCGTGCAATAGAAACTTGAATATTTGGGTCACCTAATTTTGGCTAACAAGGTGGAGGCCGACCCCCAGAAAATTGCAGCTATGGTTTCATGGCCAAAGCCAACTAATGTGAAAAGCCTACACAGATTTTTGGGACTAATGAGGTATTACCGCAGATTTGTTAAGGGGTATGGAAGCATAGCCCAACTACTCAAGAGATTGTTAAAGAAAAACTCTTTTAGTTGGGGTCTAGAGGCCCAACAGGCCTTTGAATCATGAAGGAGGCTATGACTTCTGTTCCAGTTCTTGCAGCTCCTGATTTCAACACTCCTTTTGAGATACACACAGATGCCTCGGGCCAAGGCGTGGGGGCAGTATTAGTTCAACAAGCAAGACCCATAACTTACTTAAGTAAGGCTTTTTCACCTCAAGCTAAACAAAAATCGGTCTATGAAAGAGAGTTAGTGGCCATCGTCTTTGCCGTGCACAAATGGAGTCCTTACTTATTAGGTAGGAAGCTTATCATTAGAACAGATCGGAGAAGTCTCCAATTTCTCAAGGATCAGCAGATTAAGACTCCGGAACAGCAGAAATGGTTGTCCACATTAATGGGGTTTTCGTTTGACATTCATTATTGGCCGGGAACCACTAATAAGGTGGCTGATGCATTATCCAGACGAGATGAGGAACCAGAATTGACCTCTCTATTGGTGATCCAGTTTGCGGAGTGTGAGGACTTGGCAAATGAAGCCCAACTGGACCCCAAGCTTAAGCACTTGATTTTGGATCCCAACAGTCGACCCAACTACAAACTCTGCCATGGCTGTTTATTGTACAAAGACAGGTTGGTTTTGCCTAAGGGCTCACGGTTTGTTCTTAAATTAACAACTGAATTTCATTCAAGTCCATCAGGGGGTCATTTCGGATTCTTTCGGACATACAAAAGGGTTGCAAATGTGGCTTATTGGGTAGGCATTAAGAAGGATGTCCAAGATTTTGTTAAAACTTGCTCCATATGTCAAGTTAACAAGCATTCAGCTCTGAAACCTGCGGGGCTACTTCAGCCACTTCCTATTCCATCTTAGGCATTTGATGAATTGACAATGGACTTTATTGGTGGCCTTCCAAGGGCTAAGGGGTTCGATAGCATCCTGGTGGTAGTTGATAGATTGACTAAATATGGCCACTTCCTTCTCTTATCACACCCTTATACCGCCGAAGAGGTGGCCTTAGTGTTCATGAAAGAGATTGTGAAACTTCATGGTTTTCCAAAGTCCATCATTTCTGACAGGGACAGACTTTTTATGAGCCAATTCTGGTAAGAAATCTTTAGAGTTTCGGGGACAGCTTTGAAATTTAGCTTCGCTTACCATCCCCAAGCGGATGGAGAATCCGAAGTGGTGAATAGGTGCTTAGAGGCATACCTCCGTTGTTTCTGCAGTTCATAGCCCCGTCAACGACCAAATTGGTTGTCTTGGGCTGAGTTTTGGTATAACACGACATATCATCGGTCAACCAAGATGACACCCTTCAAAGCCTTATACGGTCATGACCCTCTGACTCTTCTTAAGTTCACCA